ATATAATCAATAATGTTGTAAATATTTTTTAGGGGGCCAGTTGGTCTCATGTCTTGTTAGGGAGACCACTTCATAGTCGGTGTAGAGGCCTGACCACCGCACTGTATTTCTGAAGCTGATGTTGAATAATATTGTATGTCAAATATAATTATATATACATATATAGTCATGGGATGTGGAGTAGAGTGTGGGAATAGAGTCGATGGAATTGTAATAGATAAGTATGATATCGGGGGTGGGAGGGCAGTAGATGGGGGAGTGGGGTTGTTTCTGTGTGAAGGGTGAAAAGGATAACTATTGCATTGTTCTGTACACCTGAAACTAATAATAAAAAAAAAAGAAGAATGACCTCTGAGGAGATGCTGACCTAGGTTGATGTGGTCCTTAAATATCTTGGGAACAAAACCGGGGGATGACTTAAGAGTAGCTTTATCCTTCAGTTTTTACTGACTCAGGAGCTCATATCCTTTAACTTTTGAGTTTGTTCTATGGAATTAGAAGACCTGAGCTCTTATCTGGTCATGTGGCCGTGGACAAGGCATCCAGCTTTTTTGCAGCTTTCTTTCTCTACCCCTCCAAAAGAAAAGAAAATCTTTGCTCAGAGACTCCTCTAAGAACTGCAAAATCTTACCATGCTTCCAGCTGTATCATTAGCATCACAGCTGACTGAAATATCTGTAGAGAGCAAGACTGGCTTGAAAGACTGAGCAGAAAGCAGAGAAGTAGGGGGCAGTGCTGAAGGGAGTCAGGCGGAGGATCTGAGTTTGAGTATTGCCTTATGAATGTGCGTGTCTCGCAGCTGCACAGGTGCCTGTGGCTTCCTCACCCACAGAAAAATGATGCTGAGATCAATTGCATCCTGGTGATGGTCTCTGGATCCAAGCACTCAACTGAAAGAAGAACTTTCACTTGAAGGATATGAAGGATATTACAGCTCAAGAGGGTAATGAGGGTAATGAGAATCTCAAGATCCTCATTAGATTCCCATTTTCCTTTCATGGTTCATTCTGCTTGAAGAGAGGCTGTGGGTGGCCAGCAAGATACCATGATTTTGGTGGCACAGACCCCTTGACTGCGGTGTATAATCTCAGGGGCCAAAGTCTTCATATCCATTTAGTCCACAAATAATTACTAAGAGCCAACTCTATGAGGGCTGTTCTAGATACTCTGGATAGCAATAAAAGCAAGTGTTTATTAGGTGCCAGCATCCTTCTAAGGGTTTTATTTATGTTAGCTCATTAATCCTCACCATAACCCATGAAGTTGGGTCTGTTCTCATCTGCATTTTACATTAGGCACTGAGAGGTTAAATATCTGGTTCAGGTCACGTAGCTAATAGGCTGAGTCAGGATTTGAACATAGGCAGGCTGGCCCGAGAGCCCATGCTCTTGTGTACCAGGCAGCAGGGAACATCACAGCTGAGATTCCGTCCTCACAGAAAAGAGGCCAGGCAACAAGCAATATTATTTGCAGTACTGATGAGTGCTGTGACAAAAACTAAAGCAAGGGAAGGGGACCGAGTGACCGAGGGAAGGGAGCTACTTTAGAGAGTGTGGTCAGGGAAGCCCTCTGGGATAGGTGGAATCTGAGTGAAAGTCCGAGTGAAAATGGGACCGAGCTATGGGAAGGTTTGGGAGACTATTCCAGGCAGAGGGTGCAAAGGTTCTGAGATGAGAACAAGCTGGGAGGTCCCGGGGACGTGAAGAAGGTAACTGACATAGTGTGGAGGAGACAGAGCAAGGGGGGACTTCACGAGGGCCTCCGATTTCATTGTCAGGGTGCTACGAAGCCCTAAAGGGGTGCCACCTGCTCTGATTTTCCTTATGAAAAAGATCACTCTGGCAGCATGCAGAGAATAGACCACTTTGGGGGGCAACCAAGGAGGCAAGCTGGAAGGGTATTACAGGGGCCAGTGTGAAGAAAACACAGATGCTACTTTAGTTTAGGATGTGAAGGCCAAGGTCAACTTACATAAGCTTAGAGTGGGTGGCCCAAGGAGTCCACAACATCTCGTAAGTTAACTATGAAAAGTGCTATGCTTGGATTCAGGAACAGTCTTGATACGAAAGGGAAGTGCACAGAAATATCCCAGTTGCTGATGGATCACTGGCTAACTAGTTTTCTGATGGATGAGAATGCTTTCATTTGGCAGGGCCTCTCTGAGCAGGGTCTTCAGGGATGACCTAATCACCTGCTGCTTGACTATTTAATACGGGCGCCCTGCGTACTGGCCAGGCTGTCCTGGGGAGGGCACCTGGGCCCTGGCACACGTCCAGAGGCTCCAGTGCTTTGAGTCTGCTTTAGTAGATTTTACTGGGGATGTCTGATGACAGCCAGTCTAGCCTTTCCCTTTGTTTTTTGAGAGGGTAGTTTTAGCATTTCACATGAAGACACAGTGATGTAACAGAAGAAATGGAGAAACAGATGACTTACAGATGCTCTTTTCTAAGCATTTTCTACTCTGAACAACTTTACACTAAAAGATAAAGCTGAATAATAATGTCAACTATAATTTAATATATATAAAGGAGTCACAGGATGCAGAGTACAGCATAGGGAATAGAGTCAATGGAATTGTAACAGCTACATATGATGTCAGGCGGGTAGTAGGTTGGGGAAGAGGGGTTATCACTTTGTAAGGGATAAAATGTCTAATCATTACATTGTTTTGTACACCTGAAACTAATAAAAAATAGATTAAAAAAAATAAAAAAAAGATAAAACCAGCCTGTTTTAGAAATACTGGCCAAGTTTTACATGGGAAAGTGACAAGGAATTAAATCTTCATGACTTTATGCAAAGTAAGGACTCAGGCTGCTTGTTTTTCCAAGTTCCAGTACTAAAGGAGCCCATAAAATTCACCCACTTCACCCACTGATGCCTGGAAAATGCCATCGTTCCAGAGTTTTCAAAATGGCAACTCATTTATCTGCCACTATGTAAGTATATGCAAATGTGCACATCAGGTTTTTTCTTGATTATTCCGTTACGTCTTCATGCCCTTAAAGATCACTTCCTAGGCTTGTCTGAATGGGGCAAAGTTATTCTATGGCTAGATAACTGCAGAACTCACAGAGGGTTATCAGACTCTGAAGTGTTATTCTAGAAGGAATTGTTTCATTATGTAGGCTACAGAACAAGACTTAATTTAGACATAAAATGAAAACTACAGTTTTTAATATTGCTTCTTTTTGGAATTCTGTTTAGAGTCAAGCATGAAGAATACATGCCATATGTTATGATATGATATAATGTCAGTCAAGCTGGCACCTTCTGATGATGTCAGGAAGTCCTTTGCAAAACACTAGCAGAAATTAGGAAAGTGGTAAGGGGCTTCCTCTATACACTTTATAAACAAATTTACTGCAAGTAAGACAGAAAAATGATTAAAAGCAGAAATGGAGCTGATGGTGTGACTGTTACTACATCAAAGAAAAAGTGAAAATTATGATTTTTTTAGAGACTGAGAAAACTAACTGAAGCAGGCTATTTTAGCCTTTGGCTCTAATTAATTTTACAGAAATCTGTAAAATTATTTCGTATTACCCAGGAGCCCAAACCACCGCAGATGCTCTGCTCTGCCTCACAAGAAAAAGGCAAGCACACATCAAGGTGAAACCTGGCACTTCTACAAGGTGACAATAAAATACACCTTTCCGGGTCCTTTATGGGGTCAGTCCCAGAGCAGCTGTTTACATCATTTGCACCTGCAGATACATACACCTGCCATGTGCCAACAAAATTAGGTTCACCACCAGTGACCACAGCTTTAAGGGCAACCTTATCTTGAATTAAGATTTTAAAATACTAGAAAAAGTAGAATATTATTTATACTCTTTTAACATATGTTCATGTACAAATGTGGTCTGTAATATATCTTATAAAGAGACAACATTGTTTTTTGAAGTTTAAAACATCAACCTTGAGTTAAATATGAGAACTCAGCTTCCTAAAGGATGCATTCCCTGGAAACTCTGGAAAGCTGCTATGTGCCTTTATGTTATGGTCTCCTTGAATTCAATAATATGATAGGTCATCTTTCTATGTCTACATGAGTAAAAGGAACAGTTTCATGGTCCTGTGGTGTAAACCATAATCACCAAAAGCAGTGATGTCCATTCCAGGGGGATGTGTCAGAACTTGATGCTTTTAATGAAAAACAGTACATCATTGAACCACTTACCTGTCGACGAATCATTCCCAGGTCTCTTTTGGCTTTATTCACTAGAGTCTGAATTTCTACAGGATCTTGTACATTCTTATTTTCTCTGAAGGCATCTCTTATCCTCCTGATAGCGTAAGTTCTAAATGAATTCAGAGAAAAAAAGAAAAGGTATCAGCGTCTTTGAAGCTATGCTTTGAAATGAGTTTAAAAGCTTTTCCTTAGGAGTTAACTGTCTGATAGTCTCCTATGGATAATCGACTTTTATCTTTGCGCCTCCATTACTATTCTGGGATTTCTAAGCAAACATGTTTAGGGATATAAATCTTCCCGAAATAAGTCATGTATGAATGGCAAACTATTACTGCAACGCTCCTCATATTTCTGGTTCTTTATAGAGTCATTCATGTCTGGCTTCCGTCCATTAACACAAATAACTGAACCTTTATGAACAGAGACACAGCAAGAGATAAGAGGTGAAGTGATGCACCATGTATGCAGGCACCATGACAGCGATGCACGCTGGACTCGCATCAGCTTTCTAATCTTGCCCCCTTTTAGTGGTTTCTTAATAGTGTGTAACATAACGGGAGGATGCACATAAGGATCCTACTTCAGGTCAGAATGGAGATCACACCAAAATGCTTTTCTCCATCTTTTTTTTTTTTTTTTTTAAGATTTTTATTGGGGAATTGGGGGATGGGTACAGTGCTGGGGAATTGNAGAGAGAGAAATAAACAACTTTTGTGTCCCAGGCTTGCTACTCTATGAGAATCTAGAAGAACTGAAGTTGCCGCTTCAGAGGACGCACTCGAATGAACACCGACAGCATCACGTGGCTGTAAATAAACTCAAACTTTGCACGGATATATTGTCACCAGGTTTCAAGCAAAAGTTGCTACACATTTAGGCTCCACGGTTGTTTCCAATCCAAAGAGGCCTGGCAGACGGCACAGCTAGTAAGTGGGGTGATTGACTGCCAGTTATTGTAAGTAATGCCTTATAAATAGAAATCAGAAGGAGCATCTTCAGAACAGCAAAGTGGGGAAAAGAACTTTCTTCTCTTTCTGACAACAAATCCCCAAAGGGACTGTTTATCATTTGAGGAAGAAGTCCTTAGGGGCTTCTCTGCCTAGACCGTGAGAGCTGTCTGCCCAGCCCCGCACACAGCCTGGCTTCTGGGTATCCTTTCCAGCACCATTAGGCACATACACAAAAGGCTTTCCAGCTTTTCTGATCCCATGGGAAGCAGGTAGGAAAGCTATTGGGTTGTCAGGAAAGTCATGATGTATTTTTCTATGTTTTTCAATGTAAAAATACGTCATGACTTTCCTGATGACCCAATAGGTTTAGTGGCGGCTAGTCCAGAATGCTTTCAGGAGAGATGAAGAAATTACACAAGCTGCCAGGGTCAATCTGTCTTTTGAGAACTACTTTTTATGGAAATAATGGGAGTTTATAGAAAGGCAGAAGAATGTCTCTGCTAGTTATGGGATATACGGTGATGTGTATATTAATAGCTGGAAAGATTAGAGATTAACAGACTCGATTATAATTTTCAGGGAGAGAATTGGTATAAGAACACCAAAAAAAAACAAGTGTATATCAGGCTTCTATTCCGTTAGTGGGCCATAATTATGGAGAATGAGCCAAAAAAGTCTGACTTGCTCATAGTGGACGAAAACAATCCGCCACTTTACTTCCTGAAATTAGAGTGAAAGGCTAATAAGAAACGCTGATGCTATCTGGAGTCCCTCAGGGTTGCCACAATGAGGATTAAAAATATAAAGGAAGAATGACCTCTATATGAAGAGACATTTCTCTAAAGAGGACATACAGATGGCCAACAGGCATAAGAAAAAATGTTCAACCTCACTAAGCATTAGGGAAATGCAAATAAAAACTACAATGAAAAAAACCCAAAAAACCACAATGAGATACCACCTTATCCCGCTCAGAATGGCTATCATCAATAAATCAACAAACAACAAATGCTGGCAAGGTTGTGGAGAAAAGGGAACCCTGGTGCACTGCTAGTGGGACTGCAGACTGGTGCAGCCATTATGGAAATCAGTATGAAGGTATCTCAAAAAACTACCTTCTGGAAACAGAACTACCTTATGACCCAGCAATTCCACTCTTAAGTATTTATCCAGAAAAACCCAAGACATTAATTCGAAAAAATATATG